AATTTACATCGAATTTAATAGATTAAAATATGCAAAGTTTTACTTTCAAACCCTATTTGGTATTTCTGCTAAAAACTGACAATTCTTAAAATAGCTTTTTAGAAAAATATTTCCGACAAAAATAATTTGTATTTGAATCATTCATCTAAAAAGTACTTTTGATAATCAAGTTGTGTTTGGTTAATATTTTTTTGAAAAGTGTTTTTAAACGTCAAATTCTGAAAAAGGACAAGCATCAATGTACTTTTAATATTAGGGATAATGCTCAAGTACCCCCCTTAACCTATCCCCGAAATCTCAGAGACACATTTATACTATACTAAGGTCCTATTACCCCCTTAAACTTATTTTATTAAAAAAAATTTACCCCTTTTTAGCCTACGTGACACTATCTTGTGGGCCCAACGATGGTTGACTTTTTTTCAAAATAATGTCACGTAGACTAAAAAGAAGTAGAAAATTACTTATAAAATAAGTTCAGGGGTAATAGAACCTTAGTATAGTATAAGTGTGTCTCTCGAATTTCGGACATAAGTTGAGGGGGTACTTGTGCATTTTCCCTTAATATTAAGATTATTTTATAGAAAAAAAATATTTTTTATGTATATTACAAAAATATTAATTAAATTTTATTTTTAATTATGAATTAAAATGAACACATTCAACTTTTTAATTAATATGATATATAGATAAATATATAAATAAAATAAATATAAATATAATATTAACATTATGATTTAAATATAATTAAAAATGTTAAGCAAAATAAATTTTAAAACTATTTCACAAATTAAATCATTGCATACAGAAAATAATATTATTTTTATAAAAACCATTAATTTTTTTAAAATATGTTTTTCTCAATATCAATATCAAACGGGCTCTTAATAACATTTATTATATAAATCAGTATGCATAATAGTAGTAACATACATATATGAACATATAAATAATATAAGATCATTTTCTAAGTGAAAATGTGTGCGATAAAATCATTACAACACTCAATGATAATAATGTACACTGATTGTTTTCAGTATTCTTGATAAAAGTATATATTACTTTATATATCTTTTCAAAAGAAATCTGTTTTAAAGTACGAGTATTCTTGCCTATGAAACATGAATGAAGAATGATACATAATTTTATATTTAATTCTTTCAGAAGTATTCCATCAACGTCATAAATGTTACACATTTTTTTAGGACATTTTACTTCCTTTTTTGAAATTCTTTATATATTTTGATTTCACTTTTAGAAATTTAAATGTTTTACAAAATTCTTATGAATTAAAACTAAAAACTTTGTGTTCAGATTCTATTTCAAAAATAAATTAACAACTCATTTTGATTTTAAAATTTATAGTAATGTTATTTCAATAAATAATAATTTTTTGACAATAGCATAAAGCGGAACTGATTCACTTACTTATTAAATTAAATTTAAACATAAAAATACTTTCAATCTGTTAAATCATATGTAGAATCACCAATTTATCTTACATCCTATAATGATATTGTCCATCTCCTTATAAACGATTTTTAATTTATTCAACAAGGAATGATTCTTTCCGGGGTCAATAACAATTTGTTTTATCATGTATGAGGGTGGTATACAATTTTAAAAATTTAGGCAAAAAGTTAATATAGAAATGATGAAAGATAGAAATAATTATTATAATTACTAACGAAGTTCATAATGCTATAACAAAAGAATGTAAAAGGGTGTGAATAACATTTTCAATAATTAATAATAACTAAGAGAATTCATACTGCATGCCATAACTAAAGTATTAAACTGCAATAGACAATTTTTTTATTAATTCTGCGTTTATATAAATAGATAGGACTTCTAATTGTTTTTATTGTTTATTTAGATAGTGATTTATATTTTAATTTAGTGTAGGGGCAAAGTGTGTGTGTGTGTGGGTAGCTGGCTCAACTCTTGAACTATTAGTAACATGTATCACATCAAACACCTTTTTCAGCTCCTGTTTGAAGTTCTCTGCGTCCTCTATATTGCTCGAACCAATGAAACTTGGGGGGTTAATCCTCAGGAACTCACAGATCCTTGAAGTGTCAGCCTTCTCTTGTCAAGCTCCCCTTTTTTGTCCAACATGGTTGGTCACGATCTTACTGGGCATCCTTATAGCCTCATAAAACTCAGGAATAGTTACTTCTCCTTGAGTTTGCACTTCAGGTGCATTAGGTAAATTTTGCTTTTCAACATTTCTCCTAGTTAAACGACCTATGACTGCTCTTCCTGGAGACATCACTGTCTTAAAACGCGCGCAAGCACGAATTAGAGGGGAACTTTTTAGGGATCAAACTCTAACGTGCGAAAGGAATATAAAAGAAGTGAAGTAATTCGTAAATGTTACAGCCTCCTAATCATACATGTGGCCCTTCACATCCATAACTAGGACTCTACAGAAACGACTTCATAGACTCACCCATACTCTTGAACTCTATGCTCTGATAACAAGTTTTCCATGCCGCGAACCTACACACTGGACGTTGCCGTTACTCAAAGACGACCGTTGGTTCCCAAGTGAACCCTTGTCCTTGCTTACTTAACTCAGCGAAAGACTCTAAGAATTATTACAATGATCAAATGCACTTACTCAGATACCTTAATAATAAAACATGGAATGTTTAACGAATCGACATTCAAGTTAACCAAAAATGGAAACACAATTCTTTAACATAGAATGATAATATAAAGACTAATGTACTACTAACTATCTATCAATGAAGCCTCTAGTATAAAGAGAGATGTTGGGATAAGACCTTTAATCATCATAATACTGAAATACTGAAAGCAAGATAAATGGGAGTCCTCCGAAAAGTAAGGAGGCTCATCAAAAAACTTTGATTACTCAAGTTGGATCAATGAGGCATTTGGATGCTGATCCAGGTTACGTCTATTTGCATTATAAGACGATGTAGACCAACTAGCGTCAATACAATTGAATGTACGAGTATGCGAGTTTGAATTCTAACAAACAGAGGCTTGATAGAGGTTCTGAAAGAAACACTTACCTTACTCTTCTCTACTCATGAATGCTGAACTAAACTAATTTCATTATAAAGAAGTTTAAAGTAAATGTAATATATAGAAAACTTGTTTAAATACATGATGTCAACTCTGTGCATATAAAAGAGATACAACATAACTCTAAATGTATGTAAAAATATAATAAACTGATATATATAAAAATACAATAACTTTCGTGGGAGATTCTCTAACCGACAATCATCACTATGTGTCTAAGAGATGGTACAACGCCTTACCTCACATTGCCAAAGACCATACTATACCTTTCCATCGGTATAGAACCTGAACTCACTAAGTAGATCCACTAATCTATGCTAAAAATCACTAAGGAATCATTTAAAAAGTATGGTCATTTCTCTGCCCATGATGACTACATGGTTTATCGAAGGCTTGAGTTAATATGAACTGCCTCCCCAGATCGGTGCTCAATACTACTCCCAAAATATACTTTATTCATATGTTTTTAAAACAACTTCTTCTCTGGTTTGAGATAATTGCTGAACTTATACTAAAAGATCTCTTGAAAATCTTAGTTTCCTCTTTACTGAAAAACTAACTCAATGGCTCTTTTGAAAATCTCAATTTTATTTTTTGTTTAAACGTTAAAACATTTACAAACTCTTAGGGAATACTTCGTTCCCTATTTAACTTTTGAGAAATTAACTCAACTCTTTACTCTTTGCTTAACTTGAAAATGAAGTCTTAAAACAAAATTAAAATATTTGTGCAAGACCCTTGAAAACATTGATAAACTTTCCTTGACTTGACTTTAACTTTACTTGACTTTACTCTTAACGTTACTTGAAATTACTCTTAACTTTCCTTTAATTTTGAATTATGGATTCAAGGATTTTGATTTGTGACATGAAATATCTCTTGATGATTATAAATGATTTAGAATAGCTAAACTTGAGAAAAGTCATGAAATCATCTTCTTGGAGAAAGTCCACGAAGAGGAGATGTTCCAAACAATTATTCGCGAAATTTAATTTTGAGATAGTGGAGTCCGCATCCTCTTCGCAATGCGGAGGAAAAATTGTTTACTACGGGAACAAGTCCGCGATGTGGACTTGTTTCATGAACCTTAATCGACCTTTTCATTCTCTGTTTTTAGCTCCAATCAACCTAATTTCAATTATCTTCCTCAAATTCGTTTTAAATCCCGTTACCCAGCATGTATACTCAAGAAACTAACTCAACGAAACCCTAAAACTCAATGTAAGGATCTCATAAACATCTCAATTCATCCTAATTCAATAATAACATTCTATTCAAGAATATATATCAAGAACATCAATTTTCCAACTCTTCTTGGAAGAATTTAACTGAATTAAACATGTTTGGCGTGTGGGTGGATGAACCCCACGCTATGAGATATTCATATACCTGGTGGGATCAAATCCTTGAAGAGATCTGAGAACAAATCTTTCGAGATAATGAATCTTGCTTTTCCTCTTCTCTTTTCTCTTGCGTTCTTTCTCCAAAAATCCTAACTCTATTTTTTTAAAAGCATAAATTGAAACTAGTCAGATTAGCCCCTAAAAATATTACCAAAAATGAATTCATTAAGTTGGGTAAGGAAAATATCAACTTCCCTTTAAAATTCAGGATTGGACTTTTCTTATTCTTAGAACTCTATTTCGAAAAGACATAAGTCACTCATTCGAACTTGGAATCGTGCGAACTCGACGTTGTTGGAAAGATTGTCCAAGGAATTTCCAATCATAACTGGAAGCTTACTAACACATACTGATCTAGAAGTTATGGTTGTTTGAAGTTGACAAAAACTCACTTTTCGTAACTTAACTAAATTTACACATTTTTAATTCTTTCCAAAAATGACTATTTCCTAATTTAAGCTTCTTTCTAGTCATTTGAATTTGTGAGATATTACACTTTCATAAAGATTGTTTTTGATGAATGAATGAATAACGACGTTCATGTGCCGACAACAAATTTTGGTGATATTTTCTTATTGGGCCAAAAGACTTAAGAAGACATAATCAGTTTGGGATAACAAATACAACTGAATGAGTTGATAGTAAAGTATTTGTTTGAGTTTCGATGTCTAAGAACTATAACTCAAGATTAAAATACAAGTACATAAAGTAGTTAATATTTTTATTTGAAGACAAGGAACCTCTTCTCATGGAGAAAGAAGAATGGGGAAAAAAGAAAGTTGAAGATCTTTTTTGTTGAAATGGACATGTATGTCTTGCAATCACATATTGGCTTTACAAATCCACCAATTTTACTGCTGCAGAGTGAATGTCACAAATTGACACATCTGTTTATTTATTGTTCATATGTCCTATGAAGAACTTTTCTTTTCCAATATTTTGTGAACTTTGCTCTCCATTTTTTTTCCATCTTAAATTTTTGAACTTATATATCATCTACATGCTTAGAGAACTCGATGGAGGTACTCAAGAATTTTTTTTGAGAGTCTCCATTACTCTTGGATGTTGACGCCTTCAGAGTTTCAGATTCTTCTACAACACGAGATTTTCCTATTTATGGCGAAGGAGTCATGTAGGATTTAGTTCCCAAAGTTCCAAAGAGAATATATTCTCATTAACATGGAGGCCTTGTGTTCATGTGGAACAAAATTACTAGATATATAACTCTTGACAGGTCTAGAGAGCTCATATCTGAGAGTAAGGGAAGATGTATTATCCCAACCCACCTGGAATGGGAAAAACCCGATCACCATAGTGTTTCTTAAAGCATTTTTGATGCCCTTCCCACATTGTTGGCATGTAATCACAGACTTTCCAATTTTGTTCTTAACTAGGAAGCCATGTTTATGAAATGGGGGGTGGGCATCATTCTTCTATGCAGAAAGGAATGTCCGCCTAACATTTCTGGAACACGGCTGCACAATTAAGTAGCAAACTTAATGTAGAACTAATTATAGGCTGATACTTTTGAAACATCTTCAGAAATAACTGAAGAAATACTATGTTGGTTTTTTTTTAAGCAAGGTGGATGTGAGATTATGCATCCTCCCACACTAGTAGATAGGGGATCTCTTAATCTTTCAAGAGTTACATCTCCAATAATACTTTCCATACGAACTCAAATACTCCACGACGAGGAAACAAAATCACGTTGACATTTGGGTAGTTTAAATCCCACAGATATCCTTCTCCATAAAAAGGAGGATCATTGTATATATCATAATCTCTGAAGCCATCAATATTGTGATGGCGAATCTCTAAAATATTTTCATCAATCCCCTCTTCGATATCTAATAGCCTGCAAATGACACATAGTATCAAAATTGTAAGAGTGAACAAAATATAAATAAAGAGCGTGTCTTTTTGATTGGCATGTCAAAATTATAGACAAGACTTTCATAGACTTAGATTAAAGTAGAACATGTGTGCAGCAGAAAAAATAACAAAAGAAGTGTGTGTTAGAGGACAAAACTCGTTTACTCACAAAATTAGGGATGATGTACTTGACCTACAAAATCACATTGATCATTCTGATTTTATAAGTATGTGTGATCATTTAATTATTCATCTTTCATGTTAAACTAGCATTACTAATTCAATATTTATTGATATTACATCTACAAATAGTTCAAATATTGCATATTACCTATGAAATAATATTTTTATTAGTAAAAGGTCAAACATATTGAGTCATATTTCACAAGTATTAAAATCAATATTTGTCTCTAACTTAAATACCAAACATACAATATTGTCCTTTGTAATTAAGTTTGAATGATGATTATTGAAATGACTTAGTTTTTGAAGTTTATTGTTGATTCGATAATAACTATTGATGATCATAATAAACTCAGTGCTCCAAGAAGGGAAATGACATGTTTTTGTTAATGAAACACATTCTTTAATATTCTGATTTAAAAATGAGGAAACTATTTCCCCGAATAAAAAAGAAGGGAAAAGGAAATTAAAGATATTTTAGTTGAAATGCCCATGTAGGTCTTGGAATCACATTTTTCTTACGAATCAATCAGTTTCGTCGTTGCATAGTGGACTATTATGTCTGACTGGGAACCACCATCTTGATCTAGAGGAACAAATTGGACCCATTTGTTTAGTTTTTTCATCTTTGCATTTGTAGAGAAAGTACACCTTCCCTCTTTTTGTAAGTATATGAGGTTTTTCTTTTCAAACACTAACTAAACAGATCAGTACAAAACTGTAGAAGTACAAATATAGGTAGTATATACTTGATCTGAAAAATCAAACAAGATAGTCCAATATTTTCATGTAGATCTGATGGTGGTTCCCTATCTTATAATCACTTACTTTTTCACTCTATATTACCGAAATAGGTGAAATTGTAAATCCAACTTGTACTTCCATGGTTCACATGTCCATATCGACAAAATGATTATCAATATTCTATTCCCATTCTTCTTTCTCCGTAAGTAAAGGTTCCTCATCTTCCAACTTGAATACTAAATGTGTTTCTTAGACAGAACCTACAAATTCCAGGACTGATCTTCTTCATATTGTCACCTCCAAAAGGCTTTCCAATCCTTCTTTTCCTTCAAAAATAAACATCTTCTCCGATATGAACATTCGTGGGATAATCAAAATCTTCAAGAATATTTTTCCCATGGATTTCACATTCCTCTCAGACTCCTCATCATCACATAGAAGAATAGGGCCTTTGTTGGGCTTTTCACCGTCCACGACAAGTGGATGACTCCCGAATTACAGATCCACAAAGATAGGTCATTCTGTGTGAATGTTATTTTCCACGAAAGTTACACACCCCCTTTAGAAGTTTGGGATTCCCCCTTGCTAGACTTAAGATGGTTACAATGTGGACGCAAGCTTCTTGAAATAGAGGCATCCCCTGAAACGATAAATATGCACCCGAGTAAAATCACACAACCATTAGCACACTAAAAGTACATTCAGAAAAATATTTAGTCTTTTTAGAGGACAAATATTTTTGTTAAGGTCGACATGTTTTTTGAGAAAGAGGAAGTAATACTTAAAATTTAGCGTGAAACACTGTTGTGACCAAAATATCTTAATTTAAAACATAATTAGAAAGGATAATAACACATACGATATTGCATTTATTGATAAATTTTGATTATGGTACTTGCGAAATATGTAACTAAGACAAATAAATTAAAATAATAATGCAATTTTAGTGATTTATATGCACATTAAAGTTTATTCATGCATTCAACTAATTTTTAAAATTAATTTTATTTTAAAATATAAAATATCTGATTGTGTTATTACATTAGTAAATCAAAAGGTGAAATATGAATTACAAAAAAAGGTATGATTCTAAGAAGGAAAAGGTGTTGCATACAATCATGTTCTCTAGAAAAATAAATAAGTTTCATATTTATATTCTTCGGTTCTCAAATACATGAATGAGTTATTTTTCATTTAGCATATATACGGAGGTGTCACATTTTTGAAATATTTAATAATATTTTTTTGATTCTCGTTTCAATTTGGTAAAATATATTTGTCAAAAAACATTTTGAATAAAAACCATCAGTTAGCAGGCGTATAAATGTACGATATCTTTTAACAAGGGGCATATCCGCTCTACATCACAAAGTATGGACAAATTCTAGTATGAGGACTAGCATAAATGAATTGTAAATACTTCAGTTCTTATAAATAACATACCTCAATTAGTATGGTCGATTATTGCCTTCATGATCCAAATCTCATTTAAAGTTTAACATCTAACGTGTCAACTCCAAATCTTCCTATCTCTATTACATCAAAGAAGAAAATATGTTCTTGTTGGGGGTATTTCTTTCTATTGTTATCATGTATGGTAGATTGATCGTAGACCTGAGAGGGGTTAGGATATGCTACGGCTGATGTAAGTGAATCAAGTAGGCTCTCCTACATTTATAGTTAGGAAACTTTTGTGATTACCTCTTGACACGAGCATGAAATTTTCCCTATCAAGTTGATCTACTTTTTGTAGGTTTCTCATTGTGAGGCCCATATATCGTGAAAAACATACCTGGACACGTCAACGGGCCTTACGATGAATAGCGCAAAACAAGAAGACCAACTTAACATGCCCAAATTTAGGCTCGTTTCGATAGGTAATCACAAGGGTTTCCTAACTATACATGAGAGAGAGCCTACTTGAGTCACTTACATATCACATAGAACAAACAGCACTTCGCCGATATCCCGACTATTCTACCATAGAGGAAGACAAGAAAAAAAAATGCCCCCACCAGAACATCTTCTATTCTGTTGATTTTATGAAGATATGAAGATTTTGGAGTTGACTCATTAGATTTTAATCTTTAAAAGTGATTTGAATCAAGAATTAAATAAACAACCCTACTAATTGATGTATGTTATTCATAATAACTAAGGCATTTACAATTCATTTATGTTAGTCTTAGCCCTACAATTTGCCCCAAACTTTGCGATGTACCGTTGATATAACCCTTGATAAAAACAAATGGCGCATATATACCCCATCGGCAAACTAATGCTTCTTATTTACCACATTCGTTAACAAATATATTTTACTAAATTAAAAAAATGCTAAAATTATTTTTAAAAAAATTTCAAAAATGTTTGTAACTTTAATAAATTACCCCACCCATTTTCTTTTAGGCATAACATATATATTGTACCCTAAACTTGACTTCAAATTTTAACTTTGACCTCCAACTTTCATAATGCACAAACAATTACTTTAACTAGTCAACTTTTAAATAAATAAACACATGAGTCCTATATGACACAATACACGTAGGACACCACATAGGACAAAAAATTACATGTTGGATGACATGTGTGTCTATTTGTTCAACTTTATATAAGTTTAAGTGTCTATTTGTGCACATCCAAAGTTGAAGGAAATAAATGTGATTTGAAGCCAAGTTAAAGGGTACATTTATGTATTATGCCTTTTCTTTTACTCTCTGAACCTAACCCAAATGAAAAATAACCTAATAATGTATTTTTTATAACAAGAAAAAATAAATAAATAAGAAACTCATTTGTTTCGTGAGAGAATATTTTTTATGTAACAATTTTTGCTTCCTTAGAAACTCACCCTACTTTGTAATTCAACTGTTAGTTTTGTTTTACTGATGTAATAATATAATCAGATATTTATATTTTAAAATTATTTGAATAATAATAGAATTAGTTGACTACTTGAATAAGATTTAATGTATATATTAATCACTTAAGTGACATTATTATTTCAAATTATTTGTCTTAGTTACATATTTTCACAAGTACCACAATCAAAATTTATCAAAAAATTCAATACCATATATGCTATTGTCCTTTGTGAATTATGTTTTAAGTTATGACATGTTGGTCACAATAGTATTTCACACTATTCTTAAAGTACTATTTCCTCTTTCACAAATTACTTGTGACCCTTACTAGAAATATCTTTCCATTATTTTATGATTATTTTTTTAGTGTGTGGTTGTGCAATTTGACTAAGGTAAATATTTGTGGATTCCGGGGTGCTCTATTTCAAGAAGCACGTGTCAACATTATAACTGTCCCGAGTGTAGAAAAGGTGAATTATCATATTGTGAAGGTGGATGCGTATCTTAGGTGGACAATGGAACTCAGAAGGAATGTCCTATTTTTGTGGATCTCCAATTGGGGAGTCCTCCACTTGTTGTTAATGTCGAAAAGAACAAAAAAGACCCGATTTTTCTAAGTGATGAAAAGGAGTTTGAGAGCACTTTGAAGTTTATGGGAGGTATATCCTTTGAGTTTTGAATGTTTGAGAATATTTTAATAGTGGAAGAAGAAGAAGGATGTGGAACATTCTGGAGGTGATAAGAGGAAAAAAGTTTAGTCCAGAAACTTTTTGCTTCCTTTTGATTAAATACTTCCTTTAGTATTCAGTTTGAATATGAGGAACCTCTACCTACGGAGAAACAAGAATGAGAAAAGGAATATTTTTGTTGATATGGACATGTGTACCGTAGATGTACGCATTGACTTTAAAATTTGTCCAACGTGTTGATCGATTGAAAAAGTAAGTGACTGATTGAGCTTAATGACTTTCAACGTTTCTAGACTTTTAATAGTTAACAAAATAATGGTTCATAGTTACTATTACGTCTATGTTTGACCCCTCAAAATTTATCACTAATAAAATTCCTCTGATGTATTAAACGTCTAAAGAACACATACAACTAATCCTTCTGACAATTGAGGGGTTAAAGTGTGGAAAATCTACACTATACAATGAATGAATGATAAAGTATTTGATTTTATATAAATATTATGTAATAGAATGTATGCCATATCGAAAATAATATCCCTCCTCGAAACATTCCATCTTAGTTATAACATTTCTTTAATGTATTTTCCACAACACAGATGCACCATAGGTTTTTCAGACCTTCTAATATAGTCTCTAATAGTTACTAAATCATAAATTGTCAATCTAGTCTTCCTCAACCAAATTGTAATATATATAACATGCTACAATATATGGCCTTTGTTTGATCGACATTTTCTCGGGTCATTGACCTTTTCATATTGATGTTCAATTTTTGACAATTCCTGCTAATGAATAAGACTAATCTATCCTACTATCTTATGTTCCATGAAACACCAGCAAAATGGACAACCTCCAACATGGCAGTGAAACATATTTTGACGAGCTATTAAATTTCAGATGTCACTCAACAAACAGATTTGAAAGACAGGATCGCTATACACACCAAGTTTGGAAGTAATGAAATAGAAGAAAAATATAACAAATAATAGGAAGCTGATGAAAGTTTAATTGGTTGTATTATAGGCTAGGGGAAGATAATATGATATGAATAACACCAGAGAACTACCAAGGAATACCTTATTTTTGTGTAGAATATGTTATTTTTTTTTTTACAATGATTTAGAAATCTTTGAAGGGGACATGTATTTCACCACACTACATAACAAAGAGTGCAAAGTGTGAATTCGTGTTGTATTAGTTACTGACAAGCTGGCAACAACATACGCCTAAAACACTGTACAGTTAATAAGAAAGTTTGAATAAGACGTTCTTTGAGATCTTCCCTACAAAGAAGTAGCAAACCTAAGACAGACACTAAGTCTGGCGTGATGAAAAATTATTGAAAAACCTATATTTCGTACTCATTATATATACCTTAAAGATACCATTTTATGGGTATATGGATATGGAGACTAGTGATAACGTGAACCGCACATACAGTGAATCTAGTTTAATTAAAAGTGGAAGGATTCTAAAATTATTGTTTGATTAGAAAAATGACCTTAAAAGACTAAAATACTACTCCAATAGACACGTTTATAAGAAAAAAAGTCGTACATTCAAATTACTAAAAGAATAAACAAAGATTCAATTACAATTCTTAGGGTAAATGATAAAATTATTGTTTCACCTTTCAACCATTGCTATAGCCTTTTCATTTAACCTAATTTCTTCATCTTCCTAATTTATTAAATTATATGGATATTTAAGAGTGAAAAAAACAAATAACAAAACATATGAAGAGAACTTAAAAGAACAAAAGAGTAGACATTCATTTTAGTAAATTATACAAACGTAGCCGGACCAAGGTATGGAGTGAAATTCTCTAGATGCCGGATCAAGGATTTAGAGATACATAACTTATCACTTTGCATGAATAACAATAGAGAATAATTGCTATTACTAGGATTACCGCGTTATAAGCTTATGGAAACACATTACTAGTTATTTTTATTACTATGGATATAAATAAATACTTTTCTTTTCTTTT